AGAAGGTATCAATGTGTACCAGTGGCTACAAATATAAATAGATATTTTTGCTACTGATGTTGCTACACTTCAATTGCTCACTGTTTTGAATCTTTATAAATATTATCAAAGGGTATTGTTCTTGATGTTTAATATGCATATTGAGACCCAAATCAATATCCAATAAAATAGACATAGATACCCATCATGATAGATAGATAGATGTCAAATTGAATAGGTTGAATAGGTTGATGCCTATCAACAGGTATGGATATTTGGACATATAAATTTGTATCAATACCTACTCATATCAGTAACCACCAATAGGTATCCAAGTGAATAAGTATTGAGGCCTATCATATTGCTCTAAAAAGAGGTCTATGTTGGTAGGCATCTGCCTATTGACAGAAAAATGTCCCAATGCTTTTTGAGAGATATTACTATTATCAGTGACTAGTGATAAGATAGATATAAATATTGATATATATCAGTGCCTATTAATATAGGCATTGTTTATAGGTATATAGGTATTGAAGTCTTAATACCAATAGGTATTGATGTCAGCAGGTATCAATAGATATTCACATCCATAGGCAGTACTAGGTATCAAGTCAATATGCATTCATGCCTATTGATATCAATATCCTCAAAAAGGATCAGTACCTTTCAAGATCTGTTTGTATAAATAGGTAAGAACATCTATGAACACACATTGGTAGTGTTACTTATTGTGAGCTCTGAATATACATATTCCTACATATGCTTATTTATATTGAGATATATAGATATATTTTTATAAATACATATATAAACATGTATCAATCTAGATATCAATATGGATAGATATAGGTACAGACCACTATATAATTACATTGACTATAGATGTATATAAATACATATAAAACAGAGAAAACAGTACTTCCTCCCAGTTGCTTTAATTAGAGTGACACTGGGGAAAGAAGGACTGGATTCCTTTTTGCAATAACCAACATATGACTTGCATAAAAAAGCTGTGTGTGGCCTCCAAGCAAGTTTAAAAGATATTACTTTCTTTCAGCATTTGTGGCACTAAATTCCTGATAGTATATCTTGTACTTTACATCTGTGGGAAAAGTCATAAGCATTTATGTTTTTGAGAGCCATCTCAGATTGTGGGAAGGAAACACAAAATCAAGGAAAAAAGACCAAAATTTCCTTGACCTTCCTCAAAAATATTATACAATGGGGACTCCATTGTTGAATGCTAAATCATTCTATATGACAAAGGCAAACTCAGTCAAGAACTTCCATGGTATCTGGGTTATAGAAAATATTTGAATTTTGTAGTTGCAGAAGACAAGCAAGTTGACCAGTTCACCAAAGCCATGTGATCTCTAATTTTATAAAACAAACTAATGGCTAAAATGTAAGGAATTTCTCTCACCCTGATAGCTCAAGGAAATCAAATAGATCTACAAGTACATGACACTCACATATATTAACTTAAAAAATAGACCTGAAAAACTTGTTGTTTTGACATGAGTCTGGGGATGGGAGAGGAGTGGAGGGTGTGGAATGAAGGGGGGGAAAGTGATCTAGATAATTGTGTACGTATAAAAGGCCAAATCCTTAGGCCATAAAAAAGGCACACACCCAATGATGTCAATGTGTTTGGCTTACAGGGGAAATAAAGCAACATTTTATTACATGCTAAGTGAGAATCTTTTCTTGACCAGAATGAGGGAAAAGTGCAAACAGGTGCTGGCTCAGCAGGAATGGAAACTCAAGAATAATAGCAGCTTTTCCTCAGGCTCATAAGCATCCTGAAAGACTACATTTCTGTCAGTACCTTAATAAAGCATTATCTACTACCCAATCCACCTATGTCTGGGTTTGAGGCTATCTGCAGAAGCTTTTGATTGTGAAGCTGCTTAACATTATTTCTCCATCCCTGCCTTTGCTTGTGCACAAGCTTTTGCAAAAACAACCCCCTTCAGTCAAGAAAGCTGGGGCCCCACTCTCCTCCAGCTTGTGGGGAAAGAAAGGAGTCATTATTGACACATGCAAGTGATTTGAGAAGAGACTGCCTACCCCAATAGAAAAAGACGTGGTTGTCTGGTGAATCAGGAAATGTCAGACTTTCTGAAAGGTTAATGGGAGGCTTTAGAAACACATTAAATCTAATCTTACAGCATGAATGCTGATGACTTTATGTTGAGATCCTAGAAATAAGAAAGAGCAAGAAAGAATATTTTAGGTGAAAGTAAGTTTTGACTGAGGAGCCAGGAGAGAACTTTATTGCAACATATTGCTGAATTTTTCCTCCATATAGGGCTGGCAATCTGCCTAGTACCATATGCTAAAAAAAGGATATAATATGAGACCATTTGAACTGAAAGCAAATTTTTTTTATACTTGTTGAAGTTTAATTAAATGAATGACCTGGTCAACTCTAGAAGGGAACAAAACTGATTTCTTTCAGTTATCTAAATGGGTTGCATAAAACTTCAGTCACTGCAGGGACTGGTTGGGGACTATATAGTGCTGTTAGCATAACCTTCCAAGTTCAGTCAGAATCATCTGTGCCTCTTCTGGTTTAGCTGAAGAATGATTGAATATGGAATTCATAAATAAAACACACTTTGCTGCATGCTGTCTTTCCCCCTGCATTTTACACTCTCATATGCATTAACAGAAGTAATAGCATAGGATATGGGGGGAACAAACAATGGATGTTGTCAGTTGGATTTACTTGCATAATTCACACTTTTGTGCCATTAGCTTTTTAAGCAATATTTTCTGTGGTATCTTCAGGTTTAAATTTTACTTTTAGGTCATTAGTCTTTTGTTTGTGACTTTCTTTCATTGCCCGGCTGCTTTGGGGAGATTTGCCTTTGGTAGTTAGCTGGTTTTTACAACGTGGGCACAATTGTTTAATCCCATAATAGAAACCTGCTGTGCAGAGAGTGCTATTTTTACTGTACATACCGTATCTCATAGCACAAGGCAGTTTTAGAAGGCGATACAGCTGCCATTAAATCTATACATCTCAAGGAGGGCCATGAATAGCTGCTCCTTGTGTAAGGACGTGTCCTGCGGTTCTATTATCCCAGCTCAGGCTCTGAGTAACACTTTTCTTCAGCAAATCAATATCCTCACCTCTCCTTTTTCGAGTCTTTTTGCTTCTTTCACTACATTCATTGTTCCTGAAAAGAAATAGTGCCTGTGTCTCTGATGACCTGTGGGCACATGTGCTAAACTGAAATGCCAGCAGGAACATTGTGGGGCCCCCATCTTTCCAGGGAAGCCAGGGTGCCAAGGGAAGAGATAAGGTGGAGGGCAGAGAGAGCTATGCTGGTGCAAAGCTGGTGTCTGAACAACCTCCAGGTCAAAAGTAGCCACTGTGAATTTGGGGTTTTACTGCTGTCAGAGTAGGCAGCCAAACACCCTGGATGAGTCTGCACATTATGGTTGAGCCTCATGTGGCCCAGCAGGATGTCTGTGTGATGAGAGAGCAGCCTCTCTCTTCACAGCCTCTCTCCACACACAAAATAGATGTGTCCTGGTTCTCCCTCATCTCTTTTCAGTAGCTCCTGTTGTGAGGGGCACTTTGGGAACATGCTGTGTGCACAAGTGTGCGTGAAGTTTGTGGGGTGGGGGGCAACAACACGTACTCTGCAGGTTGCTCATTTGGTGCAAAATCTGTCCGTGTAGCTCTGCCAAATGCAAGCCACTCAGATCTTAGTGCCACTGAGGTGCTAGGGTTTCGCTCCTACTGTTCTTCTCCCAACACAACATAATTGCAATTAGATTAAAGAAAACATGAGAAAACGTGCTTATGGACTAGATTTATAAATGTCCGCTCTGTTCCCACATCAGTTTGACGAATGCTGGGCTTTAGTCCACATGTTACTTTTAAAATTAAAGAGGCAAATACATAAAACAGTGGTCTTAAACAAGAGCTACATTTTTTAATATATCCTGAAAAATACACTTTTTTAGAGATTGGACATCTATATCAAAGTATAATCTCTCAGCAGCAAACATCCAAGTATCATTCACCTACAAAAACCTTGGCACATCTGTGCATTTATCAAGTCATAAAAAAATCCTTAAGGCGGCTGTCATGTTTCCCATGAATTATCCCAACCTGCATGCACCTCAACCTGAACCCTCTGGGAGAAGGCTAAGGTGACTGCTGCTGATTTATGGAGGCAGACAGCTTGGAGTCCCTGCCAGGGAGTAAGTAAATCGTAGTGACTATGTGATAAAAGGGATAAAGCACAGTCATTTTCAAATGCTCATTCATGCAATTCTTCTACAAGGGATCTGCAGAAAGTAATGAGGAGGTTTATATTCACTCCTAGTGACCTACACTTCTATTGGAAAAAGTTCCAAGGTTCCTAAGTATATGAAGATGGAAAACACCTTCAACTCCAGCTGGGTCATGGGGATGTACCCAGATTTTCTGTGTTAGCACTACGAGGAAGACGAGAAGGTTTCTGTACTCTTACATACACATGCACACACACATGCAGGAGTCGCTTCTCTAGGATTAAAAACCAGAAGCCAGGAAAATTTAAATGAACACAAAACTAGTGACAAGGACTGAAAATTGATTTCTCTTTTGAAGAGATGTCCCTTATGTTCCCCCTGGGTGCTGTCCCCTTTGATGGTGGGTTGCTGCTCCTAAGTGTGGTAAGGCAGCAAATTTAATAATTATTTAATATATAATGCAATATTAATACAAAATTACCGCCCAGCTGTATCCACTGGGACCACTAGCAATTCTGTGTTTCATGCATTACTGATTCAATGTATGTCAGTACATTTTGTTCAGCATTCTCTGTAGTAACAACACTATTTCTTCTTTTGAGTCAGGGTCATGGGATCATATATAAAACTATCTATAGAAGAGATTGTAATTAAATTCAGAGATTGGATCCAATGTGTTCTATGTCCACTAACTAATGCCACCACCTCTCCCCTCCAAGTATATACATGTAAATATACTTATGCATGTGTGCCTCATGTGCCTCTCTAGACTTATGTATGTGTGTGTTTGCTTGTGCATGGTAATCACTGCACATGCAGTAAACTTTCTTTGGTTATTATAAGTCATAGTTCAATATGATATCTATGATCATAAAATCTGCACTCAGTAGCTAAAGTAATGAAAATCTCATAATTATGTCAGCTTTTAAAAGATAGCCTGAGAAACTAGAAAAGTAGATGACGGTGAGCATGAAGACTCTCAGTTACACTGGGGCTCCCCATGCCTAATTTAAACCCCATTATTTTGTCATAAAATCATAATTTCGGTAAGGCTCTTTTAAAATCAGATTCTTTAAAAACAATAATTATGCAATAAAAACTGAGGAAGTTTTCAACACTAGAATTATGTCTATATTTTTTTATATTGATGTGTGTGGGGATTTTCCCAGATATAAATGTGTTTGCCAGTTGAGTTGTCTCGAATCTCTCCATGTGTAATAAAAGGCCTTGAAATATTTTTTCAAGTAGTTGGAGGATAGAAAATATAAAAGTTTAAAAATATGAAAGTCCGTTAGAAAGCAGAACTGGGTCTGCTAATGCACTCTGAGATAAGCCACCATCACTGTACTTTTTTCTCCATAGATTTCAAATCCAGTTTTCAAACTGTCCTATCATTTAGTCATTATTTACATATTAAGGTCTATTCAGACTGTATCCCTACTCTAACTCTTAGTTAAAATCATAAAGGAAAATGAGGTGACAGTATTTCACAGTGGATCAAGTTGGCTTTTTTAATGTCATCAATAAATTTTGATTTAGCCTCCCCTAACACTAAAACAAAGCTTTAGTTTCATTTTGGAGGGGTGTGGAGATACTCAGTAGGATGGTGATGTGTGAGCAGATTTTCCCTCCCCCTTTTTATTCTGTTATTACTTTCCAGTATCTCCAGGTTGCACAATATTCCTTGAAAGCAAACACTTTATGCAAAGCAGCTGTCTAACAGAGTTACTTTTACTTTCTCTTGCAGGGTGGCCTATTGAGCATGATTAACTTGACTCTGATGGAAAGAGAAAAATAACCTGGAAACATCTGGCAAATAGTAAAGCAATGCCTAGCATTTTTTTCCCTGTAGGATTTAATTAAGAAATATACTTAATGGATCCCTATTTACCTAAATGCAGGGGTTTGGGGGATTTGGGTTTGGTTTCTCTCACCCCACTAGCTGTAGCTCTGTAATACTTTATCTCATACTCCTGAATCCATTAGAAAAAATGTGCAATTACAAGGTGGGCATAGTGATGTGTTCAAAAGGTGTTTACTGTTCCAAGCTGGTTTGTTGTGCTTTGTATGCACATTTGAGTCTTGAAATATGTGAAAATTAATTTTCTGTGTTCCATATGGCTAAAATGACAGTAGAAACAAAATTTAGGGACTCACACAAGTAGAAATTGTCAAATGATTTTTAAAAATTAAAGGAATATTGGTAAAAAGGCATTCTTACTTTGCTGGTTTTTTTTTTTAATGGAAATATTATGTTAAAAAACAGAGATAAAAGCATTGTATTCACTTTATATGTGTTTTTTTTATTCAGAAATTTTGTCACATAATCCATGGAAAGAATTCACTCTACAGAATCAAGTATTTTGTATTCACTGTCTCTTACATATAATTTCTGATGTGGTGTTACTTTGTGGAAAAGGAACAGAGAAAATTGGAGCTTTGTCTTCTTTCTGGAGACTTCTTCAAAATTTCCTACAGAACCATAAAAAGTTTGTTAAAAAGTAAATTAAAATTCTTTCACAATTGTGTGAAAGACATATAATTTGATCAGTGGTCAAAATTCAACCACCCCAAATAAGGTTGACCTGATGTGAAACATTTTTATACTGGTTTATCTAAGTTGTAAATTTTAGACTTTTGAAAAAAGACTTCATATCCAAAATCTTAAACATTTTAGAATGAAAGTTCACTGGGATCTGAATATCTAATAACAAAACAGCTCATATTAACTAAATTTCATTTAATGATACAATATGTGTTCTAATTTTAGCAAGCAGCAAAATAAGCCCATATGTGGATTTCTTTGGCAAAAATTTGTGAAAACAAAGTTTTCAGATCTAATTCCATCAACAGTCCCTGAAAAACAAGAAATGTGTCACCTTATGGATTGCTATGATCTACACAGGTCATACAGGCAACATGTTTTTAAGGCATATTTCTTCTTCTGCACCAATAGGTTAAAGGTAGCACCCACAGACATGTCCATGGATTTGTGGCCCTCATGATATGCACCAACCCCTCTTCTGCAGCTGGAGTGTTAAAACTGCCTGATGTTTTGATATTTTAAGCACAGAGCTTTACTAGAACCTACAAAAAATGTACCTTGGCACGTCTACTGGCTTTTCTCCGGAGGCTTCCTTTGTGTTCTTCTGAATGCCTTGGAGGACTAAAGGGTATGTGACCACTTCTTCAACATGTGCCACGACTTCAATTTGCAGTGCTCTGAGCCATTTGCAGCAAGTTCTTTTCAACACTCTCCCTCTCCATTTTCAGGCATTGCATGAACTATTAGCAAGATTACAGGGATATCTCCAGATGCACTCTGTGGTTGCTCACACGCTGTACAGAACAGAAGCAAGAATATCAGCAGCACAGAATAGCAGTGAATTTGTGACAGCTTCTGATAAGGCATCAGACTGAAGTGAAGGTTGAACTGACAGTGCAGAGTCTCTTCCACCATTTATCCTGAAGTGTCTGAACGACTTTCGCTCAGCCTCTAACCCAACAAAACTGTTGATTTCAAACAATACTTCTCCCTTTCTGATCTCACTTTTCATCTTGATTGAAGTAACAAGTAGGCCTTTCCAGATCAAGGATCCTAATTGTAGCATTACTTCCCTAAGGGTATGCGTAATACTGATTTTATGGCTGCATTGAATGAGAGGCCTTTCTGTCCATATCTGTGACCTCTCTCTCTTTAACCCCTTCCTTGCATCTTTTTCTTCATTTTGTTTAGGATTTTTGTTTGCTAGCATCCTCATTTTATTTGTTTATTTGTTTTTTGGGTTTTTTTGTTTTGTTTTTTTTTATTGCTCTTTTTTACGAGGAATCCAAACATTTGCAATGGCAGATGCTTTTTGGCTAATTTACATAAGTTGAGCAAATGCTCCACATGCTATTGTCTACACTTGAGTTCTCTGAATTTTATCTGTCCTTCAAGCAGCAAACTGCTCACCACCTTCTTAGGGATAAAAATGTGATCCTTCCTATATTTGACAACTTGTGTCCATTATTAAATTGTTATAGGTATCTAGGTAAAGAAATCATGGAATCTGTGAATCACGGAACGTGTGAATTACCTTTGAGAAAAGTTGTATGGGGAACTTCTGACAGGATACATTAGATGTATCAGTCCATTTTGAAATACAGGTTAAGTGACTGACGACTGTGAGGGACGTAGTTGTAATGGAAACATTTTAAGTCTGGAATGGAAACATTTTAAGTCACAGTCTCTCTACTGTTCAAGTGCTGACATCTAGCTTGGTGCTATACAGAAGGTCCTAGCCTCAAGCAACAGATACCCTTGAATTAGGCCAAAAGGATCTACACAATTCATATCAAATTACAAAGGCTCTCTCCCAGTATAGATCAGAAATTACTTTTATATATAGCCTTTTGTTTATATGTTTGTCTAATGTAAGAAAATGGAGAGCACAGCCAGCAGCCAGCGGTGGTCATGAGAATGGAGGTGTAAAAATCTGTGTGAAGGAATACTCCTGCCCTGCTAAGTTCCACTCAGTTTTAGGAAGGAGGCAGATGCAGTCCAGTGCCTGTGTCTACATTGCACCAAGAGTAGAGATCATGTCCAGTATCACTGTAACACCACCACATGAACCCTAGAAGCATTTTCTTGATTTCCCAGAGATGGAACCCAAACCTAGGGTCACACCTTTGCCTTCCTGAGGTGTTACTACAGATTTAAGCCTTTCTTGCCTGAACTGGATATGTAATGCTGAGTATGCTCACTTTTGCTCTAGGAATATATACAATAACATAAAATAATTTTGTTTCAGCTTTAAAGTAGTTTTAAGAATAAAATTAAATGTTTGTAGGACTTACTTGATTGTCTTTTTAAACCCTCTGCATATTTGAAATTTCTACTAGTGTGCAAAGGGCAAGTAACACTTCTTTCCCAACATTTTCCCTGTCTCAAATGGCATTGAAATTTAGACAACAACATGCGTAGCACATGATTAATGAAGCTGTGCACTGAGGACAGGACATCTGTGGGATTGCACAGAGCTTTGTGTACATGTTGCTGCATGTTCAAGAAACTCCGCAAATTGATAATTTCTTAAATTAATTGACTTTCCCTGTGTAATGTTAACGTAACCTTCAGTTTGAAAAGTGCACAGATTTGCTAGCAAGTAAAACAGGCAGGTAGTCAAATCCCTAGAGGATTACTTAGGTTTGCAGCTCACCACTTTGTCCTTTACAAAGGATATTAATATTTCTCAGGAGTTCTTAAATGAAACTAATCTTGAAAAAAAATCATTTTTTTAGGCCATTTACAACTGAGTATAATACAGAAAATGTCTAGCATAAGAGTCACAGCAATAATTATCTGTTCTGTAAGGAGATACACAGAAATTGGGAACAGTCCAGACAAAAGTGTTTTCTCTGATCCAGCCAATGAAAAGCACAGAAAAAAAGTTGGAATCATTCTCAATTCAGATTTCTAAGAAAATTCAAACTGATCTTTGTTAGTATCTCTAAGCCATTGAACTAGAACTAGAAATGTTGTTGTAGACCTGAGCATACCTGGCTGAACTTTGGCCCTTACCACTAACCAAAAAGGGAGTCTCCTGTCCTAAAAGAAGGGTAAGGAACATTTTACATAAAATATAGGTCAAGTGAGATTAGGCTGACAAGTTGCCATGACTATAGAGGTGCTACCCTTTTTATACCAAAGAGAGTGAATTGCTTTGCAGGGTGAGAAGGATCTCTCTAATGAAGGCTATTATTCTGGAGGCTATTATTCCATGTTGAGACAAAAGGGAAGGTGGTGCACCTGACTAGTGACTGACTAGTCCTGACTAACACCTGATTTAGTCCTGTCTTCCAAAGTTTTAAAGTGTTAGAGCTCTTCTTGTCACCACATCTAAATCAAAGCCTTAAGGTAGTGCATATAAGTTAGGGCCTAAAGCCACATTAAATAGGAAAATGTGTTCTTCTGTTTGAATCAGAGGGAGAAATTATGGCATTCAGCAATTCCAGCGACTCCTCATATTTGTTAACTGAGACTCTGATTTTTTATATATATATAGTTAATCAGGAGTGTATTTTTAATAAATTAGTGGGAAGAAGAAGGTAACAGAGTGGTGGTTTAGTATAGACCGCACAAGTTTTCAAGCTTTCTTTGCTTGAGGCATGGGGATGGAGTCAGAATTATGACACAGGACTTGGACTTGTTTGGCTTTGAGTACCTTAGAGCACTTCGGTTGCTGCATAATGATGGCTACCTAACTCTCTTTTTCACTCATTTGGTCAGAGCACATAATTGCACTTTAATGTTTTAGTTATCATAACTAATTAATGTAGAATTTAGGAGAATGAGGATTATTATCTGTTGCTTTTAAAGGATGATACCTGCTAGTTACTCAACAGGGGAAGAATCAATGAAAACCAATTTTCCTTGCAGTAGATGCAGTCCTCTTCTTGCATGCACTCAAAATCCAAACATTAACCCCTGCTTCAATTCATCAGTGCCACAGGCTCTCTCTGTGAAACCAGTTATGGGTGCAGAGAATTTCCAGTGGGTAGAATGTATTAATTTTGTATTTGCCTAGTAAAAAAGTGTAAAATAAAAAGTGTGGCATCTTCTGATTTACAGCTCTGGATACGCTCCATTTGGGAGAAATTTCTTCAAAACATGACCAAATCTGGGTTTTAACGGATGTCATTAACACACTTGATTTTTTCAAACATGGTAGATGCATGAAAATGCTACAAGTCTTAGAGAACTGATGAAAAAAACATTCAAGCCTCACTCCATTTCAGCAAGGCCTAACTTTGGGGCGTGTAGTCAGTGTCATGTTTGACCTTGACACTTCATCTCTGCAACCATTGCAGGCCTGCAGATCATAATCCTATATAGAGCCATAGGAAGCCATCAGAAAATACATCTGGTTTCCCTAAGAATATCAATATTTAGTGAGTTCTTACATAGTGTACTGAAATATATGTATGATATACATAAAATCTGGAAACTGCTACAGTGGGAGAATCACAAGGCCACACTGATACACTGTACAATGTAGAAAAAAAAGTATGTTACCTAATGAAAATGTGCACCTCACATAAAAACCAGCAGGATATACTGAAATATTTATAAAACCACCACATATTTCGTGTATTATATTCTGGAATCCACTGTGTACCTGATTATGAAATGTCTTTGTCAAAATAGTTCAATATACAAGGAATACCATGCCATAAATCTGGCTTCCTTTACCATGAGATGAAGCTTTTACATGGTGGAGTTGTAACACTCATCAGTCAATTATCATTCTAAATCTCTCTTCTGCTTTTCCTTTTGTGCTGAGACATTGCAAGTTACTTGACAACTTTCCACAGTACTTCTGTTTTCCATCTAAGTCTGTTGGTAATACTTTAAGAACTAAAATTTACTATAAATAAAAACAAATCAGAGGTAATTATTTGCTACTGTTGCACACTTATGAAAATTTTCCTTCACCTCTGGAAGAGTTTCACAGGTTTTAGTACACTGAAGACAATGACAGAACTTTCATTATAAACCAGAGCCAAATAAATGAAACTAAAGAAAGAAAAATCCCAGAAGGTCAGCAGTTTTTAAAATAACTGGGGTAATTTGACAGCAAAACTAAGTTATGAAGAAGACTCGTGGCTAGATTGTGTCCAAATGAAATCCTTCTAAATTGCCCCTGGTGGGCAGCTAGGGTCAATAACCACTTCTGAACATCTTGGTCAAACATCTTGTGGGCAAACCAGAAAAGACTAGGACAAAACTGTAATTGTCCATGACTCAACTAACATAATGAGAAATGACTGAAGTTAGTGAATTTCACATTTTACTGATGTTGCAACAGTTTCCCAAATTGTTTTGTAAAGAGTAAACACATTTTTCAAAGTGATTTGATACCATCTTCTGCACTAGCAATGGAATGATGACAATTGCAGAAAAGAAAGGAAAAAACCCAAAAACAAAAACCAAAACAAGACTTCCCTGAAAAATAAACATTTATTGAAAATCTAGCAATGCATCAAATTCATGGAGGCCTAATTAATTATCAAAGAGCAAATTCAAATAGAATGTGCATGTTGAGTTAATATGTGATAGAATTCTAGGATTCCTGCATCCCTTTTATTTTTCTCCTATAAAAATCAATTAATTTTATAAAGATTTTTAGATATGCTGAGGAGCTGTCTCTTTTATCACTTAAACAAGGACTTCATATTATGCATGTTTTTATCTACAAAAGACCCACTTCTCTTTTTATTTAATGAGATAACTAAGCTTTTTTTTGCATAAATTAGAAAGAGGATTCTTTTCATTTAGGTATAATGTGGTGGCTAAGAGCTATTTAAACATTTTGTCTTGGTTAGATATGCGTTCATTGTTAACAGCACAATCAGGTTTTTTAGTGAATTGAATGGAAGAGAAAAAGAAAATCTTCATTGCTTGTCAGGAGAGCTGAACAGCAAGCATTATTGTCAAAAGAAAAAGCACTTTTGGTAAGATTTGTTTGTGCTTGGAAGAAAAAGTACATTTCAGAGACAGGCATAAAATGAACCTTGTTTCTCAGGGCTTTTCTTTGATATCAGCACATGATTTGGGGCAACTGGGCAAAGTGCAGAAAAGCTGGGATGGGCTTGGGCTCAAATGAGAAGGACAGACCATGGATGACATAAGTAAAATGAGTGATACAGCACATTTTAGTGGAAGCCAATAAACTTTCAGATGTAATGAGTGCGTTTAAGTATGTCACATTTTACAGAATACAATGCAGAGAGTTGAGGGAAATATTAATATTTAAGTGTACATCTTTTTATATGAAATATACATCTTGTGTATGCAAAGTACATTTTCAGGAGCTCACAGAATTCTAAGACTAAGATATAAATGTCTCAGCATTAAGCTTGAATATTTCATTGCATCATAAATATAATATGTTTCAGTATATAATGGACGACAGATAACTAAATATTTGATTTTGTGCCAGTCATAGTGAGCCTTCATAAGAAGAGCTGTTTTCATCATCGTGACCCAATTGCGAGCACCATGAAAAATTCTACAATAATGTCAAGATTCAGCAAGAGGTACTCTTATATTTTGGATAGTCAAGATCCTTTTCCACTGAGTAGCTTTCCAGCCACTCTGCCCCCAGCCTGTAATACCTCTTGGGGTTGTCGTGACCCCAGGCAGATGTGGGACTTGGCCTTGTTGAACCCTGTACAACTGGTCTCAGTCCATTGATTTAGTCTGTCCACATTCCTTCCTCCGTCAGATCAACACTCCTGTCCAATTTAGTATTGTCTGTGAACTGAGGGTGATCTTGATGCCCTCATCCAGGCCATCAATGAAGATATTAAATAGGGCTGGCTTTAGTACTGAGCCTTGGGAAACACCGCTTGTGACCAGCCATCATCTGGATTTAACTCCATTCCCCACTACTCTCGGGGCCTGGCCATCCAGCCATTTTTTCCACACAGTAAAGAGTACATCCACCCACACCACAGGAAGCCAGTTTCTCCAGGACAACAATGTGGGAGACAATGTCAAAAGTTGTACAACCATGTGGGAGACAATGTCAAAAGTTGTACTGAATTCTAGGTAGACAATATCCATAGTCTTTTTCTCACCCTCTAAGTCACAGAAGGAGATCAAGTCACAGAAGGAGATTATGTGAGTGTTGCAGTTTAACCCCAGCCATCATCCAAGCCCCATGCAGCTGCTCACTCACTCACTCCCACCAGAGGCATCAGGTAGGGAAATGGAAGGGTAAAGGAAACTAGTGGGTTGAGAAAAAGACAGTTTAATAGGAAAAGCAAAAGCCTTGCATCTCAGAAAAGAAAACTGAATAATTCATTCACTCCTTCCCATGGTCAGGCAGGTATTCAGCCATTCAGAAGAGCAGGGCCCTATCACATGTAATGGTTACTTGGGTTGACAAATGCCATCACTCCAAGCATCCTCCCTTTCCTCCTTCTTCCTCCCACTTTATATACTGAGCATGATGTCGCATGGTCTGGACCACCGCTTTGGTTAGTTAGGGTCACCTCTCCCTGCTCTGTCTCCTCCCAGCCTCCCAAGCATCCCTATGTTCCTTGCCAGCACGGCAGTACGGAAAGCAGAAAAGGCTTTTGCTCTTTAATCTCTACATTATCAACAATCTTATCAACAAATTTGTTCAGCACAAATCCAAACCACAACCCCATGCCAGCCACAGTGAAGAAAATTAACCTTACCCCAGCCAAAACCAGCACATCTGGCCAAGCAGAACCTGACTCTCATAAGCCCATGCTGGCTGGGCCTGATCCCTTGATTGTCGTCTAAGTGCTGTGGGGTGGTACTCAAGATGATCTGCTCTGTGACCTCCCTGGCGTCAAGGTCAGGCTGACAGGGCTATAGCTCTCTGGATCCTCCTTAGGGCCCTTCCTCTAGATAGCAGGTCTGCTGATAAATGATGGAAAGTGGCTCAGTGAGCACTTCTGCCAGCTCCCTCAGTACCCTGGGGTGAATCCCATCTGGCTGCATAAACTTGAATATGTCTAAGTGATGAAGTAGATCACTGAGCATTTACCACTGGATTTGGGGGCTTCTTTCTGCTCCCTCTTCCTATCTTTCAGCTCAGGGGACTAGTTACCCAGAGAACAACTAGTCTCTATATTAGAGTCTGAGGCAAAGAAGGCATTAAGTGCCTTGGCCTTTTCCTCATCTCTGTGTTTTTCTCTGCATCCCCTGAAGGATGAAGATTCTCCTTGGCCCTCTTTTTGTTGTTTATATTTTATAAACTTTTATGACAGTAGTGAGATTAAGTTCTAGCTGGGCTTTGGCCCTTTTAATTTTCTCCTTGCATAACCTCACAAAACCCTTGTAGTCCTCTTGAGTGCCCTGCCCCCTCTACCAAAAGTCATAATCTTTTTTCTCCTGAGTTCCGGACAAAGCTCTCCGTTCAGTCGGGCTGGTCTTTTCCCACTCTGGCTCAACTTTTGGCCTATGGGGATAGCCTGCTCCTGTGCCTTTAGGATTTCCTTCTTGAAGAATGTCCAGACTTCCTGGACTCCTTTGCCCTGCCGGACTGCCTCACAAGGGACTCTCTCAACCAGTCCCCTAAACAGACCAAAGTCTACCCTCTGGACATCAAAGCAGAATGGGCTTTTAAACCTTTATCTGTCAAGAGATCCACAGGCTCTAGCCTGGACTGGCACTTCATTCCTCTGCAGGAAGAGAGAAACACAAACTGTTCCCTGGGACATGGGTCAGTGCTGTCACAAAAAAGGATGAGCACCAGTTTCTCTCTCATCCACATTTGGGCAGCTGACTATGGCCTGAAATGATGAGGTCAGGTTAAACAAGCAGAGCTAGCAGAGGCTTAGCACAATTTCCCAAAGCACTATATATTTCTTTGTGTCTGAGTATGAATACACAAGGCTAACTTTAGTTCCTGTTTTTGAAAATGTTGGCCCTAATCTACATAGACCATCATTTATTCCCTGCCCTGCCCCCTCCACTCCCTCCCATTTTTTAACAGATGGCAATTTCATTTTCCAGAGCTAGTTTTTTTCCAGGAATGCCTCCAAACTATAAAAGTGGATTTCTCACAATCATCCATGGACAGAATTAAAACCAGGACTTTAAATAAACTGGATTTTGCTGTCAGAAAATTCCAGTTAGGGGCATTTAGCTTTGTTGTTGTTGTTGTTATTGTTGTTGTTGTTATTCAGAAAGCTCAGCAGAAAAGAATGGAGAAACAGTGGCCCCACTCCATCTTTGTCCCTTCTGCATAAGTTAGACCTTAATTATAGCACAGGGCAGAGACTACACCTCCAAAAGTTCAACTACCCATTATAATCATTTTCAAGCCAAAATCATGTTCAGAGTAAAGTTGCTTAGGCACAGCCCTTTAATTCATTCTGGCAAGTACAGACACCTGCAGAGTCACCATAAAATTACTCCTAATGCAAATAATCCATCCCGTGGCATGGCGTACATCACAGAGATTTAGTTACCACCGTTCTCTGGTAGGGAAACCAGAGATCTGTGGCCAGAAATATCACACAGATGGGCCTGTTTGAAAATCCGCTGCATCCTGGGCTTTCAAACCTTAAAAACAGATGAAGTGATTCCAGTGTGACCCCTGCTGTGATATAATGGATCCTGTCTGTGCGTGCAGTGTTTGTCATGATTTACCTCTTGCAATTCCTGGCTTGTGGAACAGACGGCAATTCTGAAAATGAATTACTATTGATTAGACATCCTGCACTATTGAGTTCTAGGCAATTTTATGAATTTATTTATTTGAATAAAAGCTTTTAAAGACCCCACTAATTTCAAATGGTTCTAGCAAAACAGCAATTCCGCTTTCCTTTTTTCCTGTTTGCCAATGGTAGATACATAGTTTAAGGCCTTATTTATGCCAGCTATGACTTGTCACCTTCACACAGACAGAACTACCTGATTAAAATGACAGCGTGGTTTTCAGGGGAAGCAGGAGAGATCCTCTCTCAGGGACACAGTCTGCACTCAGAGCGCAGGGGGAGCTCTTGCCTTTCTGTGGCAGGTGGATGGGGGGTCGAGCCCCAGTCCCAGAGCATCCCTGGGGTAGAGCATCCCTCAGGCAGAGCATCCCTCCTTCTGCTGAGCACAGCAGCAGCAGCCTGCAAATAAAGGACAACCAACAATACAGCTGGGGGCTGGGCCTCTTAATTACCCCTCACACCCTCCCGACAAAAAGAATGTTCTGCTGAGAAAGGAGAGGATTAGGTGCTGCTCCACTAAAGATGGGATTGTACAGAAACGGGTGAAGATCCTAAATAGGCAGCCTAGGGTTTGGAATGGGCTGTGATTTAAAGTATAAATCTGGACAATGTCTTATTAGGCATATCTTCTTACCGTAGAAATAAACTCTGTGGTAAAATGTAATCTGGCACTGAGTTGTGCTTTGATGGAAACGAATTA